ATGTCAGCCAGGGCTTTAGGGGTAAATTTAGTTTTTATTAGATCTCAAAGGTGTGGGGGTTGGGGAGAATGTGTCCTTTGCTCTTCTGCTTGGGGTTGGTAAGGATTTGAGGTCATGGAAGTTATGTGAAAAGAAATTTACATTCTTAGCACTCTCTCTATCAAATATTTTTTTCTTTTTTAAAATTAGTTTCAGGTGCCTATTCAGCTTTAAAAAAATCAGCTTTTTATTTGCAGATTTGTAAGTCTGTCTGGTGGATTAGGGATGAGTGGAAAGAGACTCACTATGCCCTTCCCCCACATTCACACAGTAAAATCAGATTAAGTTTTGATTTAAAAAGCCAAGGGTGTAAAATCTGAAAGGAATCCAGGTGCCCTTCGGTGGAGCTTCTGTTGGCTTTGCAGGCCCCCTCGGGGAAGCAGCTGTCAGGGACACCTCTGAGGGAGGCCAGAGCCTCCTGCATGGGGAAGTTCAGTTCCTGCTGGGTCTGTTTATATTGGCGGCTTACATCATGTCAAGAGGAGCCTAGACAAACAGCATAAGGGCTTGTGTTCAGGGCAGTGTTTCTAATCCCAGCCTTTCCTGGTTCTTGACCCAAACTTGGCATCATCACAGCTCTTACCCACCTGGGGTTCCCAGGGGGCCCTGCATGACCCAGTGGCCCTGGAATTCCACAGGGCCCATTTTGCCACAGTTGATGTGGAGGAAAGTTGAAAGTCATGTTTTTATTTGATAGACTTCCTCATGGTTAGAACACTATTCTGGAAATATACTGATCTGTTTGGTGGTGTGGTGCAAGGAGTTGGAGAGATGATCCTGTTCACAGAGGTACTAATGGACTGAGAATGAAAGTCACCTTCTGTGTTTTCAAAGTGACTTTAGTGACTGGGGAAATCTTATGTGAAGTGAAGAGGAAATAAAATTTCATGTACAGGATAATCTTAACTTTGTTAAAAATATACACAAACATACACACACACTCCCCACACACCCCAAAATAGTAAACAGGGATTATTTCTTGGTGGTGGAACCGTGAATGATACTTTTTTTATTCTTATGCTTTTCTGTTTTTGTTTTATTGTATTCTGAGGGAAGCGGGTTAGAATCTTCTCAATTTCTCTTATTTTTTTATGACAAGAAGTTATATGCGTACACGTGTGCTAAGCTGCTTCAGTCATGTCCAACTCTGCGATGCCATGGACTATGGCTCATCAGGCTCCTCTATCCATGGGATTCTCCAGGCACAAACACTGGAGTGGGTTGCCATGCCCACCTCCAATGAAGTTATACACTTCCCCCTTAATTTTCATTGATGGATGTTTGAGAATAATCACTGCTCTCAGAAGGAAGGCATCTTATTAGAATAAACATACTCATGGCAGAAATAAATGTACCTGATGAGAATAAAAGCAAAACATTGGAATTTTTTTTCTAGAAGCAGCTTGACTCTCTTAATTCTCCTAGCTTTCTTATTAAACTGTGCAACATCAAAGAGATACATTTTAATTCAGTATTTTTAAGTTTCTAAAACAAATGTCCTTATTCCAAGAGTATACATAGTGATTGTAAATAATAAAATGTAAATAATAATGTATATACACATAAACAAGAAAGAGGAAAATAAATATCACACATAATTTCATTACCTAAGAGAAAAAAACATCCTTAGTATTTGGGTTTATGCACTTCTAATCTTTTTATCCAGTGCCTAGACATTGTATACATATTACTGAAAACAAACCAAAACAAAAATGACATCTGATGATTTGACTTAAAGGACTATGAAAACACATACTGCTGCTTGTAAACTGACATTTTTCCATCCTCTGACTTAAATATATTCAAGCAGGGTTAACTATGGAAGGGTCTGTTTGTTTAGCTCTATCTCTCCAGCCTTCCCAGAAGACTGTGACTGGACATCAGGATGTCTTGGACTGTGGCTCATTTTACTGGGTCTGCTGAACAAAAATTATATGCAGATACAATGTTCATTTTTGTTCCCTAGGTACTTCTCTAGTTTCTTTTTTCCTTTTCAGAGAGGCAGATTTGGTAACCCTGAGATTCTCACTCTCAGTTATTCTCCAGTGCACGTGTTCACTGCTTTTGTGGGATCTGGCATAGGGACCTTGAGGAGACAGAAAAAAGGGCCCAAGTTTCAAAATTATCTTAGTTCAGGATACAAATGTCCCCAAATGCAGCCCGTACTTCTCCGGCATCTTCTTCCTCATGAGATTTTGTTGGCTTCTTCTGTTTTGCCGTTACAAAGAAAATCATCCTGTTCTCCGAACCCTCCTCTTCCACAAGTTAGGGCCTCTCGAAAAATATCTTTCCTGATAGCCCTGCTTGGACGTAATTTCCCTTGCCTGGCATCCCTGGATGTCGCTCACTGCTTCCTGCCCAGCTACAATTCAGCTCAGCTTTTCCCTGGACTCCTGGGCCATGCTACAGGCAGTATATTTTCTGTTGCTTCTTTGAGGATTTAGTTTGTCATGTAATCGACCTTATTGACATACACCCACACTTGGACTCTTAAAAACAAAAGAACAACAAAAATGAAAACAGAAAAGCATAAGGCAGAAAAAAAAAATCACTCATAGTTCTACCACTAAGAAACAACCTCAGTTTATAATTTTAGGGTTTGTAGGTGTTTGGATATTTATTTTAACATGGTCAAGATTTGTTGTATAGATCGAATTTGGTTTCCTATTTTTCATTTAACATGGCATAAGTATTTCTTCAATCATGAACATTATTTACAAACTTTTTCAATGACTAGATAATAGTTCATTTTATGGATTTACTGCCAAAGGCTTGGCTCTTTGTTTAATGTTAGGAGAAAATCTAAATATCCATTTTCTTAGAGTGTGTCCATGATCAGTAGGCATGGAGAACGGTGCTAAGGTGTGTAGTAAATTCTTGGTAAACGTTAGCTATGACTGTGTTGGTTAGTGATAATTTTGATGCAGCTGGAGTCAGAACACCTGGAGAAGCCACACGATGTCCCCTGCAGACTCCGGGCAGAAAGTGTGTAGGGATTCCCTGTGCCTGCTCAGCAGCAGCGAGAGGATTTCTCAGGAGTATAATTTCAGCTCCTTCATTTATATCTTGGCTGTTGCAAGCTGAAATCCATCTGTTACGAGCTCAAGAGCTCAAAAACCTTGATTGGTTCTGGGTTTTCTTGTTGAGTATGTGGCATTAAAAACTCTGAAAAAGTCCTTTGCTTGAATTTGGTGCATCTGGTGATCAAGTTAACATTGAGTTCTTTTGTGGCATGTGGTAGTATTAACTTTGAACTATACTTCTCCAGATGCCACTTGGGGTGTCCCAAAGAACTTCCTTGCTTCCTATCAACCAGAAAGCACCATTCTCATACCAGGGAGGGATTCCATTCATCAGAATGTGAGAGAAATGTGTGATAGGACAATTTTGAAAGCAATAACATGGAGAAGGGGACTGGAAAATGCAGTATGGAGTGGTTAGACAGGTGGGAAAACTAGTTGGAGGTGGGTATAGGATTTGGAAAGTGGGGACTGTGATGCAACAAACTGAGTAAAATTGGAGTCATACTGAAAGAGCGACCATAAAAAAGGGTAAGAAAGAAATTGAAATGGAGGGTGAATTAAAATGTTGCTGCTGAGCTTTCAAGTTTTCTCTCCCACCTTCTTCCCCCAAGTAATGCCCTTTCTATATTCCTTAAAGTATTCATTGAAACCTATATATCAGAAATGATCAGTTCTGTGAGTCTTTATTAAATGTTGACCAGAAAGGCTTAGACAAGTAATTAATTTATAAAATTCCCAGTACATCTGATTTATGTGGAGTCACATGAAATTGACATATGAAATGACATAATGTATCATAAAACAACATTAATTTCCAAACACTTTAGAAATTAAAAGCAAATGTTTGCTTTGGATCCATTTGGTCCTACCAGATCTGTTGGCACATCCTTCCTCCTGATGGATGCTTCATTTTCCCCTTACATCTTCAGAATTATTATTTACATGAGATAGTGTCATGTTCTTGACCTGTTCTAGAAACTGATCTTTTTATTTTAGTTTGGACTAATTTCTCTGAATTTCTCATTTGCTGGTTGTTAATGCCTTCTTTAAAACAGATAAAATATCTTTATATGGGAAACAAATCAATGTCAAATTTTGTTTGAAAAAAAAGAAATGATATTTAATTTTCTATGTAAACCTTTGGAATGCCCTAAAGCATAAAACTTTACTTGGGTCTCATAAGTATTTGTATTACTGGTACTTTGAAGTGATGAATTCATTGAAATTTCTTAAACTTACTAAATGATGGTTTGTACAATTTATTTTTTATCCAATGTTTGATTTTGAATACAAAGATCAAAATATAGGAGGCTTGTATTTCTAGAAAATACACAGAGACAGTTTTATCAGTGTTTTGTTTCTTAACAACATTAAACATGTATCTGTTTGGCAAGTCTGTTTATCTGTCCTTAGAAATATATGTATTGAATGTAATACTTTTTTAAGACCATGAATAACATTTAGAATACCATGTTCCCTGATTTTTTGAATCAGTTAAAAGGAAACAATATTGTTGCTTTGATGAATTGTCATATATGCTACTGCCTTTTATTTATATTTTTGTTCTCCTTTATATGGATTATGAAATTTGGCCAGTTCTGTTTACAAAATCATCCTGGTTTCATTTCTCTAACCTTGACATTAAAACCATAGAAGCATATCAAGTCTCGAAAATAGAGATGCTTTAAAAATTTGGAAGTGTTATAAGTAACTTTTAAGTGTAAAAGCACCAGAAGTACTTCATGTCCTATGAGATTTGGTACAAACTTTTGGAACAACCGATTTTTTTTTTTTTTAAGTTGATTTTCCTTAGTGCATCTCTGCTCAGGCCCCCCCTTTATGGCAGGTGCCCCATCAGGTTTATTGCAGAGACCCCTGTTTTCTCTTTGAATCCTGTGCTCGGTTTATGACCTGCTTTTGTCTCTCACTCATCCGCAGAGCCCGGCGTCTGCACGGTGTTCGGAGACCCCCACTACAACACTTTTGACGGACGGACATTTAACTTTCAGGGGACGTGTCAGTACGTGTTGACGAAAGACTGCTCCTCCCCTGCCTCGCCCTTTCAGGTGCTGGTGAAGAACGACGCGCGCAGGACCCGCTCCTTCTCCTGGACCAAGTCGGTGGACCTGGTGCTGGGCGCCGGCACCGTCAGCCTCCAGCAGCACCTGACGGTGCGCTGGAACGGCTCGCGCATCGCGCTGCCCTGCCACGCGCCGCAGTTCCACATCGACCTGGACGGCTACCTCTTGAAAGTGACGACCAAAGCAGGTGGGCTTCCAGAAGCAAGGGCCTTCTGTGTGCCTCTGGCGCTTCCCTCTGTCTCACCAACGGGTGCCCGGGAGCTGCAGCTGCGCCCCCTCCTCCTCCGTGGAGGAAAACCAGAGGCAGAGAAGTCCACCAACCGCAGGGGTGGCCGCATTCTCCAGATGCCACCAAATAGCTGGAGAAAATTGGCATACTGAGGAGCCTTGCAATCTGACGCCAGTCACCGGCATCTTGCGATCTGTCCACATCCAGTGTCTTTTCCTCCTCATTCCGAAAATAGCAGTTGTTCTACTCCGGATAACCACTGTCTCATGTTGTGTTGCTATTTTAGTTCACTGATGTCCAGCTTGGAATTGTCAGTGTCTTTCCCAGCTCAGCTAGTCATGTGCAGTTTCACATCTGTGAGAAAGAGTGTTTCCTTGTTAACATCTGTCCAAGAAGGAGGGAATCCTCAAAAGCAAACTGCAAATGTGTGGGTGTGCATATGGGAGTGGGGATGATGGGCTGTGTGACCAGCAGTCCTGTCCATTCTGGACCCGGGGAACGCTGCTTATTGAGTTGATGGGTACAACTGTCAGCTCCTGCTGGAAGACACTTATGGTGTTTGCTCTGAAAGCACTCTGTCCAGCTATGGGCTCATGGAGCTGGCCACTGATGCTGAGACCTTTTCTCAGCATCACCGATTGCCTGAGACTTGCTGGAATCTGTTGCCACTCCACTGGCAGATACATTCCCCCTAAGCCAAACTGTTCGTAGTTGCTAATAAGTGACTCCTAGGGGTTCACAGAGGCCCACATGCTTGTCTGTGAGATGTTGCCTAAGAGAGACATCTTAGAAGCAGAACTCAACCCTTCATTATCAGTCCCAAAGCATGAATTCAGTTTGTTACACATTTTATGATATCATGAATGGTTCCTTCCATGCTGCCTTTGGTTAGTGCATATTGTCAGCTGGATATTGAACTACATGTCCTCTTAGCATGCTGTTTTTTTAAGCATGATATTTGAGGAAGTCAGCATATATATATATATATATATATATTTTTTTTTTTTTACTTTTTGCATTGATGAGAATTTAACAATGTAAAAGCATCACTTGGGTTCCAGTTTCTTTATCTAATATGGATCAGAAAGGGAAACATTTGACAGAGCAGGCACTTTTGAGGGACTGCAGAGACTGTTTTCCATGGTACTTTCAGAACCCTGTTGTTTTCTGTTCAAGAAAAAATATATTCGGTAAATTGATTTGAGCTGATGAAATGCCAGCTTAGCTAAACAAAAGCAGGAAATCAAGGAGAAACCCACGGAGATTTTTATTTAGAGAGTATGACATGGTTTCAGTGAGAAATGTTAAATATTAATGTATTTGAGCATTTTATAGAGAATGTTCACTTTTGAAAGTGGTAGATGTGACGAGTTCTGTTCTTTCAACTTCAGAGGGATTAATCCACCGCAGAAAATTCAGACACCAGTTGTTAACATTCAAATGACATGTCACTCTGCACATGTAGGCCTCAGCTCATCTCTTTGAAGGAGGCAACAATTTGTGGCTTCATGTAAAATGGACACAAGATGACCTATTATTACACAGTACTAATTAGAAGTACTTTGTTTATCTTTTTGCATGCCGGCTGAACATAATGGATACTACTGATATGGAAATTATTAGTCAGCCACAACCCAATTCTCAAAGGAATTCTGCATATTCAAAATTACTAACAGTCAAGGAGGTTCAGTACTGTTCCTCTCCCAGTTGGCAATACCTTATGGAATAAGTGTACTCTTTGTAAGGACTTCACATGGTAAAAATGAGCAAAAGGATGAGGCTGCTAAGAAAATAATAATAGATCATAAATGCCATAATTGGATTAGTGAATTTAACTCTTCTAGGCCTTGAATTCAGTTTTATAGTTTGTCTTCTTTTTTCCATCTCTCCTGCCATGATGCAGCTCATTTTTGTGGTACCTTTAATACCCAGGTGACCAACTTCCTGTTGCACATGGAAGCACAAACTTTCTGCTTCCTAGGGAAGAACTATATATCTCTGGGTGCTAAAATTGCTTTGTAATTATCTTTTGAATGGAGCAGTTCCATTTCCAGACAATAGTCCTTTCTACTCTGGTCCCCAAATCTCAGTTTGTACTACCCCTTAGGGGTGTTTTCATTTGTATTACCTAGTAATTATCTATCTAAAATATCACAGCATATCCTCTGAATGTTTGTTCTTCCTCCATAATTGTGTTTCATAAACTCAAGTGATCAAGGGATATTTCTTTGAAATAGCCATTTAAATCAAGACTGCAGGTGTAAGATGGGAGATGGAGAGAAGTGACTCTTGGCCCCTGTGGTTTGCAGACTCAGCACTTCATGATGGACTCTTTTGGAAGAAGAGCACAGGTGGCTGTGTAGCTTGGGTGGAATTAAGCAGTAGTTACATATCTAATAACAACTGGGGCAGTACAGAAGGTAAAGCAAGGTTTGGTAGCTTGAGAAGCTCTGCTCCTTCCTGTCACAACTCCCCTCTCTCCCCCGCCAAACTCTCCGCACTTAGCGAATCATTTAAAATATTTCCTTTCTGCCATCTGTTCACTTCATCAGCTCCACCTGAAAGAGTTACGTCAGATCCACCTGAAAGTATTAACATGTGGGAGTGTGGCTTTGTATTTTACTTTTGGTAGAACTCTACATCTGGGGAACCTGGAGTATATATGTGTTGTTGTTGTTCAGTTGCTAAGTTGTGTCCAACTCGTTGCAACCCTGTGAACAGCAGCATGGAGACTTCCCTACACACACACACACACACACACACACACACACACACACACTCCTTTGGTATAAACTCTAAACAGAAAAAATTCTCCATTTTTAAGCATCACTATGGTATGTCTACAGATTTTGCACCTACTCTCTCTTAAAACTGGACTGCAGCAAGAGCAACAATAACAAAAAAGAAATAAACAAAAGCAGCTACAAAATAAAAGACCAACAACTTTCCCACCAAAAAAAGAAAATTAGTAATCTGGAGCCAGGTCACACACTTGAAGGGTGAAAAACAGGTTGGTAAAACATTCACTGGTGAAAAGGAAAATTGGAAGACTCTTCATCCAGTGGAAGGAATGCAGCTGCTGCTCACATCCCAGATGAGACATGTGCTTCAGCTTTGGCCTTCTGACTGCCAGTTGTTTCTACCAATTTCCCATGCAGAGAATTGGGAAACTCATCCCAGCTGCAGAAAATACTAACCCCAAACCCTCAAACACTTCCATGGCATTTTCATTTCATAAGATGCCTATTTAAAATCTCTTTTGGAAAAGCAATGTGTTTTTCAATTACAACTTATTCATTTTTTTTTGCCTGTCACTACTGTAATTTACTTTGCATGGATTTTACTCATATAGAGAGTAAAAATAACCATGCAAATACATGTGTATATGATACAAGAATAGACAAAGTCATCTGTAGTCGAGTAAGTCATCCCTACACAATAGGAAGCCTAACATTGTTCTATGAATATCCTCTTAACATAATGACAAAAAGAGGAGGAAAAGAGAGTGAATTACAAATTATTCTCTTACTTTGAGGATTGTGTTTCATGAAAGAGATGTCAAGAATCTTGAGAAAAAAAGCAAAAGTGTTAGTCACTCAGTCGTGTCTGACTCTTTACGACCCCATGGACTGTATGTAGCTTGCCAGGCTCTTCTGTCCATTGAATTCACCAGGCAAGAATACTGGAGTGGATAGAGAATATTACTGATGCAGGGATCGAACTCAAGCCTCCTGCCTTGCAGGCAGAATCTTTCCTATCTGAGTCACCAGGGAAACCCCAAGAATACTAGAGTGGGTAGCCATTCCCTCTTCCAGGGAATCTTCCTGACCCAGGGATCAAACCTGAGCCTCCTACATTGCAGATTCTTTATCATCTGAGCAACCAGAGAAGCCCAGAGTCTTGAAAAGAGTATATTTAAAACACAGTGGGCCTGCATCTTCTTAAGCATGCAGGAACCACCAGTCCATTGCAAAGAAAGAGTGACTGACTTGTTCCCTGTGAGTTGAATTCCCATGAACTCAGTTGCCCAAAATCTCAAATTTATTGTATCACTGCCAGTAATTTTGCTGGAGCTCCTTTGGATGTAAATTCTCGACCAATGTGGCACTTGGAAGAGCAGTGTTTGCCTGCTGTCTAGGAAAGACATTTGTAGTTTGGAAAATTTTGCAAGGTGGAAAATCTTTGGAATTATGCTCTAAAAGTTAGAGCGTTGTATGGAATTGATTTTCTCCCTTCGTTTCTCTGGCTGGGCAGCTGCCTAGTTACAGGAGTATGAGGTCAAGTTTCTTCTATACCTTAGAGAGTATATTACAAATCAAATTATAGTTTGCTTGTCTTTTTGCAAAATGTTATTTCAGTGTCTTAACTGGCATGAAATTCACAAATTTCTTTGTCTTTGCCGACCCATTGTATCAATTTACAGGGTAATTTATTCATTTAGTGAGAATATACTATGCGCCAGATAATGTGTTTGATGATGGGGCATGAAGAAATAGAAATTGTTTTATACAATAGTTGTGATGGTCAGAATTGACCTGATATTTGAGTTCCTCACAGTAGATCAGTCCAGTGTGTGGACAGACTAGCAGCGTGTCCTTGCTCTGATCACCTTGTCCCATCATTGTCTTCTCTTCACTCAGTTACTCCCACAGCCCAAAAGAGACTTTCTTATGACCTTCTTCCCTTCTTTTTACCGAATTCTATTCAATTGATTTTGGGAACTGAGCTGCTTCTCCTGACCAAGAAACCTTCTCTACTGTTTGCCTTGGGCTGAGAATGCTTCCATTCCTTTCATGTACTATACCATGATTTCCATGTGAGTCTTTTGGTTTATTTCTTGAGAAATCCAGTTTTAGACCATTGGTTTATTCTACCAATAATTTCCACTAAAGCAGATCTGTAACTCTTATGTCAGTTGTGTGGCCTGCTCACAGAATGCTATTTGGCCAGGCTTCTCTCCTCTAGGACCATGACCAAAGGAATATTGGCTTTATAATATTGGCTTGGGGAATATTATCTGTAGCCTCATACTTCTGGGTGTTTCCTGCTGATCTTACATCACTCTAAAGTTGCCTTATGCCAATTTTATATTCAGACAAGATCCATTCCATCCCTCCCCACCCCTTTCTTCTTTCTCATCACCACCTTATCTCCCAACTTCTGAGCATCTTCTGAGCATTTACTCATCAGGCTAATATTGATCTTTCAGGAACAAAGATAAAGTCTTCTTTAAAAAAAAAAAAAGAAGAAGCAGCTCATTCTGGATATTCAGAAAGGACTAAATCAAAGACTAGATTTTGTCAGAAATCCAAGAGGGTAAGATTGAAGACACACAGCTGGGGGTACTTTCTATTTTTCTGTTAAAACGGAGCATTCTTTGTGAGCTGTCATTCTTAGGAGACAGTGACAGTGAGTGAGGAGGAGTCCAGGGCAGAAATGCACTGTGACCTGTTGTAGATGTCCCCTTGGTGCTCATCTGCAACACTGGTACCTAGTTCATCCATTCACTGGGCGGCTCAGGCACTGCCAAGATACTACCAAGAGAACAGTAAAAAGAGCTTCCACCACACACTTGAGACATAAAGAAAATGATAATACCAGAATCATCATTTGCTCTGGGTTGATCCTCAAAAGACTCTTCTTGAAACCCTCTCCGTTGCCTTATGGGTAATGTGTTCACATACTGCATCATTTCTTCCTGACATCCTGATCAAACTGATCTGTGCTGTGTGACAGCAGAACCTGGCTGTCTGACCCATGACAGAAATTCCACTCTTCAGTGGGGTCATTTGTTACAGTAAATCCTAGACACTCAGGGCTAGCAGGTCTGGAGAAAATGAATGTTCTTAGACAAATTCTCCAACTGTTTAGATGGTCAGTTCAGCAAACCAAGAAAGGATTATGTTCTCAGCCTTGTGGAGTGAAGATCCTTTCCTCAGTGAACAGTGCTGTCCAGGTGATTCTGTCCAGCATGTGAGGAATTTTGACCTGTAGCCTGGTAGCCTCCCTACTTGCTCAAACGTTGAAGCTTATGATCAGCCTGGGTATGCATGGAGGCCCCAACCTAGGTCTCATGACATCTTAACCATGGAAGCATGGTTTAAACAGCTGTGTGTATCTCATGGATGACTGTAAAATAATGAAGAGGCAAATGTTTTCATTTGTATGAGTTATCTTTGAAGGGGATGTGTTCAGAAGCTTTATACTTATTACTTTAATACTTCCACTATGGCAAATAATTTGGAAAATTTCACTTGGCACTAAATATCATCATATGGGGGGAATATTGAAGAGAAAATTACATTGCAAATTATCATCTTTCTTATCTTTGTACACATCTTATCATTTCCACATTGTAGTAGTTGTTGGATAAATGAAAACATGATGTGAACCAAGACAATTACTCTGAAAAAGGGCAAAAATATAAACCCTAGAATAACATGGTCAATGAAGAATCATCTGTAAGTCACACTACGTAAGATAACATTGTAAGGGCAAACCTCATATGCTTAAAAAGTTCTAAGCCCCAATAAGTGATTTGTGTTATATCACACAATCTTTGATGTGGAGAGATTGAAAGATAATCAAGATTTCAGTGAGGTCCTTCGTGTTCCTTGTTAGAGGACAGTCATATGTACTATATAAGAATCTACACTTGGAAACTGTTGGTGGATTCAAGAGTGATTGCTCCTTGTTTCCTCTAGGTTTGGAAATATCCTGGGATGGAGACAGTTTTGTAGAAGTCATGGCTGCCCCCCATCTCAAGGGCAAACTCTGTGGTCTTTGTGGCAACTACAATGGACATAAACGTGATGACTTAATTGGTGGAGACGGAAGCTTCAAGTTTGATGTGGATGACTTTGCCGAGTCCTGGAGAGTGGAGTCCAATGAGTTCTGCAACAGACCCCAGAGAAAACCAGTACCTGAACTGTGTCAAGGGACAGTGAAGGTAAAGCTTAGAGCCCATCGGGAATGCCAGAAACTCAAATCCTGGGAATTTCAAACCTGCCACTCAACTGTGGACTATACTACTTTCTACCGGTAAGTACAGTGCTTTCAGGAATGGGCTGGGGTTACACACCAGGGATAGACTTGACCTTGGAACAGAAACTGTCAAATTCCTTGGTGTAGCAGGGCCCCCAAAGCATAGTCTAAACACCCCTACTTCTTTCTTGTCTTGAGACTGATCTCCTCTTGAATCAGTCCCACTTTATGTCTCAAAATAAGAAATTGGATTATTTTTGTGTCTGCAGGTTCCCTGGGAAGCTAGGGACACCCTAGGGTTTTTCCAGGTGTTAGCTTGACTCTAAGATTGAGGAGTGCTTCCCAAATTCTGGCCTGAAATACAATGGTTTAGGTCAGAAATGGGAATCTCAAATCACTCTGGCTGCCTCTGGGTATTTCAGTGAGCTCGGTTATTCTAGGTTTGAGGAAGGGTTCATCAGGTCTTTCCCATGGTCTAGCCCCAAACAAATCTACACATAGAAAACGAGGTGGCCAGATGAGAGCTCCTTGGATTTTAGCCAACCATGAGACTTTGTGTCCAGAGTTAGAGGAGTATAGAAACAGGGCTTAAGAGATGGAGGAAGGAAGGTCTCTCATTAAGACTGTGGATTCCACAACCTTTTCTAATTCTGATTCCATACAGAATTCCATTCTAATTCTTCCATACAAAGCAACTGGTTATAAAGGAGACTTGGCTTTGACATCCATGCTACAAGGTTGCATTTGTGAATGGATGAATTTGGCCTGGTTATACTTCCATTTACTACAGGATTCCATGGGTTCAAGAACTGTGACTATCTATAACTTTAACCACCACTGGGTGTGGGAGGAAACATGAGATGAACACACCCCCAAAAGGCTTTGTTTAAGTGATTTGCCCGTGCCTCTTAAAATGAGAAAACTCCTGTGGTCTGAAGCCACAGAGAAGTTATTTTTACTCTTTAATTGCCACCAGTTTATTTCCCCTAGTTCTCATTAAATGTGATTTTTTAAAAATTTATTTGATCTTTGGATGTAAAAGATAAAGTTCTATAAAGTCAGCTCAAAGTGTGGTGAAAAAGGATGACCCCTGTCATCACAAATTCCTGAACATGGCTGCATCTGTCAAACCATTTGGCTCCAACTCATGTGTTTAGTTTCTTCAAGCCATTTTCTGGTTGTAATTTGAATTCTCTGGGTTCCCTTCTTTCTCCTCCCTAAACTACCCAATAGATTGACCTCACCCTGGTATATTGAAATAGAAAGATCTTTAATGTACTCTGGAGTGAGTTAAGCACCTGGATAGACAAACCAGGCTTCACTTTGAAACTAAATACCCATCACTTGAAAGTCTATGGGAAGCAGTTGTTGTTTAGTCGCTAAGTCATGTCTGACTCTTTTGTGACTCCATGGACTGTAGCCCATCAGGCTCCTCTCTCCATTTAATTCTCCAGGCAAAGATACCAGAGTGGGTTGCCATTTCCTCCTCCAGGGGATCTTCTGTACCCAGGGATCGAATCCGTGTCTCTGAATTGGCAGGTGGATTCTTTACCGCTGAGCCACCAGGGCAGCTTGAATAGAAAGCAATAGAGCACAGTAGTTAAGAACTTTGTGGTCTCTCTGAGCTAAAAATCCAGCCCAGCTATACAAACTTGAACAGTTATTTAAGTTATTCAAACCTTGGTTTGCTTATCTGGGAAATGCAGATGGTAAAAGAACCTACCTTGAAGAGCCATCATTCAGATTCCATGAGATGATAAACGTAAACACATCTGCTTAACCCAGTAATGCCCCCAAGTATTAAGTACTCTGTCATTGTTGGCTATTATCATATCTTCTATCATTAATTAAATGATTAGCAAGCATTAATGCCTCTTTTGGATGCTTTCCTAGCCCAGTCGTAAATTTGGATTGGACCCTTCTCTGTCTGAAATAGAATGGAAAGGCTATACTTCTCCCAGGACCCTAGCAGTCCACACCTTTGGTCTTCATCCCATTTCAAAGGAATGTGTTGAAAGCAAAAACTGGAGAGCAGGCCTGTAGAGATTCATCCCTTTTTGCAAATTTCTATTTCTTTGCTCTTTGGTGATTTATTTTGTATTATGATCCCTGGACTGTGAGCAGGAATATGATGAGCATCTTGGCAGAAGTCGTGAGAAATGACGTTGACATGAACAGAGAGAATGGGAACTGTTAGGTGGCCAGACAGATGCTTGCCTTCTGCTCTTGAAAATTGCTACAATAGCTACAGTGGCACAGTAAAGGATGGGGGAGTCACTGTGTAACAGGCTGGGTGCCTGAGTTTGGAGAGCTTTTGAGAATGCTCTGAGGATCTTTGTGTACTGAAGTTTGGAGGATAGAGTATGGTGGGAGGTGAGCTTATGTTCTGCTATGTGTGGTGTAGGGGCAGAACCCCCTTCTGGGCCAGCCACTCACTGGAAGAGGCAAGGGGAGCTCAGGAAGGCAGAGCTGAGCTATCCTGACTGTCACTCACTTTGTTGAAGACCTCACTCTCCAACTGAGAGGTTCACCTTCAAGAATTTTCAAGTGAGAGTGGCCAGTATTGGGTAGATCTTGGATTTCTTTCTTTCTTCCAAGTACAGATGTGGCAGGAGAAAGGAAAGAAACAGGGTTGGCATGGAAAGAGAATTCTGTTCTCAGGCAATCTCCAGCAAGGACCAAGCCTTAGGGAGGCTTTGAGAAGCAAAGGACTAAGAAGGTTCCAGGCTGGGTGTAACCTCAACTCTGCCACTTGCTAGCTGTGTGGTCCTGGTAGCTTGCTGAGCTTCAGATTCTTTGTCTGTAGACTAGACATGGCAGCAGCTACCTGGCGGTGCTCTTCCAAGGCCTGAGGTCAATGGGTAGTGCCATGTTGGCATGTGATAGACAGGCAGTCTTGGTCTTGGCACAGTATGCTTTATGCTGTGTACCTTCCTTTTTATGGAGACCCTTGTCCCCGCTCAGCCACTACTTTTCTGATTCATGGTATCTTCTCCTGTTCTCATTGTGGAGAACAAATTAGATAGAGTCTCACTGATGTCTCTGCAGAGCAATTAAAAATGAAAAAAAATTCTCTTTTGTGACATTGAATGAAATATAGTAAGTTAAGATTGCATTGTAAATGTTTAAAAAAATTGTTGTTTTTTGTCTTATCTAGAAAAATGGTACAGATGAACCTATTTCCAGGATAGAAATAGATGCAGACTTAGAGAATGGATGTGGGTGGGAGAAGGGGAGTGTGGGACAAATTGGGAGATTAGGATTGATATATACACAATTATTGTTCAGTTGCTAAGTCGTGTCTGACTTTCTGTGACCCCATGGACTGCAACATGCCCATGCGTAAAATAGATAGCTAGTAGGAATCTGCTATAAAGCGCAAGAAGCTCACCTCAGCGTCCTGTGATGACCTGGGTTGGGTGGGTTGGAGGTGGGGGAGGGAGGAAGGCTCATGATGGAGGGAATATATGTATACATATGGCTGATTCACTTCATTGTGCAGAAGAGACTAGCACAGCACTGTAAAGCAATTATACTCCAGAAAAAGAGCGTAATACATGTTCCTTGTATAATAGTTAAGTAACATTAAAAAGAATAAAGAAGAAAATAGCTATCACATGACATTCCATACATGTGAATGTTTTCCTGCATATTTTATGTCATTGGTGGAATTTCTAAAACGAAGCTTAAAACACTGTCAATGTTCTGTGTTAAGTGCTGTGATCTTTTTTTATGAGTCAACATAGGACTAGAGAGATATGCCTTGATGTCATGAAAGGTCCTATATGTAAATTGTATATAAATTTGATTCCTTTCATTTTCTCCTTATCCTTCAAAGAAATATCTGTATTTTCCTTTAAGACAAAGAATGAAGTTGCATAATATACGAATGCAACCTTCCAAGTGCCGTTGTATTTGTTACGTAGAGAGGGAGAGGATACAGGAGGTATTTCTCTGAGGAAATTTTACCACTTTTGGGTTTCCTTAATCATGTGGCAATTTCCACAGGGAGAATTCTATTATAAATATGAGATAGTTCTTCCTATAAGATCAAAATAATAATTCTGGTTTCTCTGAATTAGAGTTTACTTTTGAGATGTCTAGGACTTAGAACTCATTTTATTTTAGTCTTATCCAGTTCAAAAATTTTAATAATAAATTGTCTATTGTCTAAAAACTCAAAAACTTTTG